GAAGCTTGTTAGGGGTTTGGTTTTTACAAAAAGCCACTATTCTTTGCCATTAAAAAAGGCAGAGTGTACAGACTAATGGCTAAGTGGCATTGCAATGGAAGAATCTGCGAATACAGATAATGTGAAACTGACATGCTGTAATTGACATGTAACTGGCGGCCAATTATTCTCACCTAGCTCACTTCTAAAGTTATTCTCCGATCTCATTGTGAAAAAAACGCATTTATATGTTTACTTTAATTCTTCAATGAGACGTGTAACTTTACAGGTATTCTCTTTTACTATCGTTACATTACAAGATTCTTTGTAACTACTCGTGTGTCTATATGCAGTTGTAACGTACTAGAGCTGGCACCACTGAGGTGTTAGAATTAATTTTCATCATGCGAGTTCATTGCTATAACTATCTCGTCCACCAAGATGTTGAATTATTCGGGGTGGATGGGAGTAGCTTAAAATCGTACCCGGGCGGGCGCACAATCGTGAAAAGGCGACTGGTATGAAGGACCGGGTGTACTCCATTGTTAAGACTAACCACTGGTGGGACACAAAGAAGCGCTCACGGAGATTTCCTGTCGTTTTCCAATCACAATGGAACATTGGGAATCTCTTGAAAAAGCAATGAGAATTAAAAGAGCGAAGAACGGCGAATGAGATGGCTCCAAGCTACACGAAATAATGACAGACTAACAGGCAATTACCATAGGCATTATATTGGACGGTGTTTGCTCGGAAATTGGCGAATAAACCGACCAATGTGAGCTACTGAACCGGGGAGTCGCCTCATTTATCATCAAGTGGTCTCCTTGAATTGTTATCTAAAGACCCGGTATTTTATAATTAATTTGTTCCCTGGCTAAGAAGTCACTCTGTCGTTTTTTTCACTCTCCTGAGTGGTTTCACGGTAATTGGCAACATACACGAGCAAGCCAAGGCAGAAGTAGAACCTAACAATTGCCTGGCCACTAAATTACCGTCATAAAAAATTATCATTATGATCATTGGCATCCAACTCTTTCATTATTTCCCTAATTTTCTGTGCAGGTTCGCTATTACAATTGCAGAATCCAAATTAGGTTGCAAATTGTGAAAGAAATACGAACAAATTACGTTTGTGGCCAGTAGTTATCAGTAATTGTCTAATTGGCTGAACATGTCCTGGCTGCAATGATTAGATATAAACGTGTGTGTTTTTTTCTCTGTGAAAATAGTGTAATTCAGTATGATGCGACTATGAAAGTTTATCACAAAAATCCACTAATTGTTTCGGTTTGAAAAAACAGGGAAGTTCATTCTTTCATTCCCACCTTCGTCCTTTCATATTCATACTCGTAATCGCATGTCACCTGAATATACTCGTATCCAATATCACTACAGTACAAAGGCGAATACAGTTGTTCCAATCACATACACGTAAGCATAACCATACTAGACAGAAAGCGGAGATAAAGTTGGTGAATCTGTTCATATCTTTCCGCTGTGTTCGACAACACACATTGCTTAATAAACAATGATCAAATATAAAATGTGTTTTTTTTTTAACGCTGAATCGTAGCGGATGATAACCTACTTTTGAGGGTTTTTTTTGAACCCGTGTTTGACACACCTATATGTCTGCCATTTAATATGATTCACAGACGAAGTATAATATACGAGAAAATGTGAAAAAAGGTATTATGTGTTAACCCAGCTGAAATCTGCTATCTTGGTAGAAAGTGGATACGTTAGACAATAAGCGGCACCGTACCCATATCATAGAAGTGTGCGTTATCACGAAGGAATTAAGAAGACAAAAAATGCAACCATTATTCAATCTACTTACAACTATATTGCGGACCCTAACAGCGAGTATACACACCAGCAGATAATATTACACTTTATTTTAGATCGTCAAGTTACAAATAACAGTATTTCTATTTATTTCCAATAATCACCAACAGTAATCCGCAGAGTGGAATATCGTTGCCCCGAACATTTCAACTATCATAAAACACGGGTGTAAATATATTGTACAAGACAAACCGATAGAAACCAACCCGTTTTTTTTTCTTCAAGCTGTGGGGGCTTCGCTGCATATGCACTCAGATTTGTAAACGCTTTTTTTCAGAAGCGAGTTAAAAACTACAAATACATCTAAGACTATAACTTAAAGGCATATTGATCGTTTTGAGTGGTAAAACATTTATTACTAATATAACGATATCTGCCTCTATTAGTCGATGTATCACATACGTCTTCATCAAGCTGATCACGAGATCTATAGCACAAATCGAACCACGAGGGCGCTATTCATAATTTAGATGGCGTTTACATATAGCGCCAGTAGGACACCCAAGACTGTCAGCTGACAGGGCAGGTACTTGCCAAACAGTTAATTTCAATATGTCAACAGAAATTCCCGAAGATTATAACGCTCGTCGTGGCATGTTTACCAGATTTTACTTTGTCAGATAATTATAACCAATTTAGACCTACCATACTTAATATTACCTCTGGTTATTAATTTGCCGATATTTTTATTTTGTTGTTGAAAATCTGACTTAAAATTGTCATTTCGTGATAACAATAAGTTAAACAATTTTTATCTGATTATTTTCAAACTTGCAAATCTTATAAATATCTATAAAATTTACCCAAGGTTTGTCTAGCATGTCTCAGTTTCCAGATTTCAATAAAATAATAAAACATTTGTTAGACATTTGTACTGCTGATCATGAGAACCAGATGCCAGTAATATACTCTGCAAAATATGTTACTTAGATAATTGCAGTAACCGGATATGTTGTTTCCATTATATTCTATAAGACACTTTGAGATTAATAGAGTACATGTAGTATTGAAGGTACAAAATGTTATTATACAAGTATCATAGTCAAACAAGTCATTGTCAATGACACGTCCCCGTTCCGTTCATATTTGAGTGACATATACATTCAAAGCAGATCATGACCGAAATGCACCTGCATATGTACAACACATTGTGCTAAATCTGAACAAAATCCATCCATGCATGACTGAGATCCGGTTCTGGAATTGTGAAAATACGTGATTTTGATGCATTTTCGGCCTTAAAATGGCCATCATTCCGCTATTGTTAAGCAGATCATGAAACAAAGGCACATATCTATTTGTGACATGATGTACCATGTGTGTGTGAAGTTTGAACTTGATCAA